TTTTATTTATTTATTTGAGAGAGAGAGAATGAGAGACAGAGAGCATGAGAGGGAGGAAGGTCAGAGGGAGAAGCAGACTCCCTGCCGAGCAGGGAGCCCAATGCGGGACTCGATCCCGGGACTCCAGGATCATGACCTGAGCCGAAGGCAGTCGCTTAACCAACTGTGCCACCCAGGCGCCCCAGGAATCTAAGTTTTTTTTTTTTTTTTTATGTTAACTGCTTAATTTATTTGGTCTGCTCAATGGCCCACCAGGGCCAGGAATCTAAGTTTTAACACAATTCTGACGCAAGTGGTCCACAGAGTGTGTGTGGGGGGTTGGGGGGCAATGACCCTTAAGATTCTCTGTTGTTCCTGGAGGATGTGACGGGAGAGGACATCTCACTTGGTTGGGAACCAGTGGACCACATGATCTCTTTCCTTCTAGCTTGGACATTTTCTGATTCTTGAAGCAGGAGGTGGGGGAGGGAGGAGAATTCTCACCCTGAGCACTGAGCACTTCTGCTCCACCCAGTAATGTTCTGCTCTATCCTTATCCTTCTAACTTTAAGCCCTGGGTTAAAATCCATTCCCCATCATATCTTGTTCTCTCTCTTTTAATCCTCACAGTAATTCCACATAGCAAGGGCTGTGGTAGCAACTGTCACCATCTTCACCTCTTGGGACCTTGCTAAAGGGGGCAGCCTAGGATGGCCGTGAGGGCGCGTGAGCTCCCAACTGCAGATCCACTGCATTCCATTCTGAACTGCTCATTTCCAGAGAAGCCAGGAATCTTTGTGTGTGTGAAATTCCTAAGATTTTAAATACTGTTAAGTCCAATATTTTCTAAAATTCTATGGGCCAAATCCAACAGGTCTGTTGGAGTAATTCAGCCCATTTCTGAGTCCCCTCCTTTGGCCGAGGAAAGGGTCCCTTTAAAACGCCTAGGGCAAGCAGAGGCAGACTGTAGCCAGGGGGCTACCCTCCCACCCCCACGGTCTGCTGTAAAGGTCCTAAATCCAGTAAACTGGGTCTGTTGGGGGTAGGGGTGTAACTCCAACTTTTTTTTTTTTTCCTTAGATAATTACTATCTGCAGTGAAGAATTCAGGATTTGGGGTACTTTAAGGGATATTAGTCTGTCTCCGGATGGGTTGGAGTATTTGTGCTATATCCCCTAACCCAATTCTTACTCAATTCCTAACTTCCCCGGGGGCAACCATGTTTGAGGGCTACATCAGGGCCTCCTGTGATCTTCCAGAAAAGGAACAAGGTGGTGATCCTGCAGAGGCAGGGCTGAAATCAGAGACTAGGGTGGGCCACAGGTGGGGGAACTGGAAGTAGGGCAAATAGCTAAAGTGGGCAGTCTATAGAGTGCCTAGGAACAAATGCACTCTAAAACTGGAGGGGCTACTTAAGCCTTGGCTGGATCACTACAGAGTAGCATCAACCCCAGAAACTCTGTAGGTGAGGGCAGGTTTGTAAAAGGGTTTCTTCCGTGTGGTCTTGGGCCTCTACCCAAGGTCTACTACCATCCCACCCTTCAAGCTCATAGTTCAGAGCTAAAGCAATTCTGGAGGAGAAAGCAGAGAACCCAAGAAGCCAGAGTTCGACAGAAGGCCAGCACACAACCCTCAGGGATCAAGATGGAGGAAGCCTAACTCCGTGGAGCCCAGGCAGCACCTTGCCAGGTGATCTCTTCCCAAAACTTCTCAGATGTAAATTCTTCCAACTCCGCCACCAAGGCCTCCTTTCCTTCAGCTTGGGACTTGAGACACTTCTACCAAATGTGTGCACACATGAGCTTATCCTGGGGGCTCATAACTGGAAACACGTCCCTCTTTGGAGCGGCCCTAGAGGCTGGGTGGGTGGCCAGGAATCCAGACTTCTGATACAAAATGGGTTTTTCTGTGTGTATGAGAAAAAAGATGCTCAAAATCGCCATCACCACTTTATTATGTGGCAGTCACACAGCACCAGCCCCTGCTTTTCCCATGTCACCCTCCACTCATCCAGGGGTCCACCAGCCTTTTTCATGCTGGAGTATCAGATGCCAAGGTCCACTAAGGCCTCCTGATCCCTTTTTTCTTAAGTGTAGAGCTAGGCTTACAATAACTTGAGTCTTAGAACTGATACTTGTCTCTTAATTGGTGATGGTGAGGACCACTAACAGCAGTTGAGCTCCCAGGGGAGGTGGGATAAGGGGGAGGACCGGTTACAGAGACTGTCCCGAAGTCATGTGGGGGTGGGGGATGTAGGGGCAGAGCCATTTGTTGATCTTTCACTCTGCAAACTGGTCCAAGAACTTGAGGTAGGCCTGGCGCTGGGCCGCAGCTGCTGGAATGAAGTGGCCACCAGAGTGCGTGAGGGTGATGGCCCCAGTGAATCGGCTAGCCAGTTGCATACTTTCCTGAGAGGGGATGACGCAGTCAGTGTCCCCGAAAACATGGAGTGAAGGCAGTAACAAGGGGCCCTGCACGATGGGTTCCTTGAGTCCAAGGCCCCGAGGACAGAAACCAGATACCAGGATGATAAACCTTGGCAAGGGGAAGCGGGGATCGCCGGCTTGGCCAAGGGCACACACAAGGGCTGCTAGCGCAGCCCCCTGGCTGAAACCAAGGAGCCCATCGAAAGGCCCCAGTGTTTTCAGTGCCTGTGCCACGGTTCCCAAGGCTTCCTCCAGACCTCTGCACACTGTGGGCTGGCTCAGGGCGTTGAAAACGTCTGCCTCCTGTTCTGAAAACCACCAGCCTCGGGGCTGCTCCTCCTGAAGGCAGGGTTCTACAGCGATATGGGGGAAAGGCTGCGGTTAGGGCAAGCGGGTATCTAGGCGATGAGAAATGAAAAAGGGAGGGGACGGAGGGCTTGGGAATGACAACGAGCAAACAAAGAGGCGGTCGAAGAAGAGAAGAAAAGCTGGGGGAAATGAAGTGGAGAGCAGAGTGTCATGGCAAGACGGGGAAGACTGATCAAGGTGGAAGCCTGGGACGCTGGGATGGAAGAAAGGAAGAGTAAGGGCAGGGGGAAGGAACGAGGTGAGGACACAGCGTGGGGGTATGCTGAAACGAGGCCAGATCAAAGACTCAGAGGGCATTTCCCGGGCAGCGCCCGTCTCACCGGAGTCCGGCCCGGCGCCCTCGGGGCCCGCGGCATCCGCGACCAGGTGCGGGCCGCTGAGGCACACGAGCTCGGCGCGGCCCCGCAGCGCCTTCCTCAGCGCTCCCGTCTTCTCGCGGAAGCCCCGCTCGCTCTGCCGGAAGCCGGCCAGGGCTAACACCCGCAGGGGTTGCTGCGCCGCCATCTTGCGGGGCAACGCGCCAGGGACCGGAAGCAGCCTTTCCCCGAGCGGAAATCGAATATTCGAGGGGCGGAACCAAATGCCGGCACCACCCCGAAGGCGGGCCTCAGAGCGAGCGGGTGTTCCCATAACAACGGGGAGGGGTCAGGCGCGGCCGGAGCAGGGGCGGATACCTGAGACCGAGGAGCGTCTCACCGAGCGGGCGGTGCTCCCTTGTCGTCTCTGCAGCTGCAACCGTCGCAAGCCGCGGCTGGAGAGGGGTGCGTGGCCTCCTGCATCGGAGGTCGCAGACTTTGCTCAGGGTCTCCATCCTGCGACGTCCACCACCCTGCTCCCGTGCATTTCCCGGAGCGGCCGCACAGCGGCGGCCTCGGCTCGCGTCGCTAGGGAGGCGGCCAGGGCCAGGCCCCGGCTTTGGTCCCTCTCCTCCCAGCTGGCGGTGCCTGCCTACCTTCTCCAGCGCTGGCGGGCTCAGGGCCTGGGGGGGCCGGTTCCGTCCGTGGTTCGCTGTCCACGGCCCCAAGGAGCTGCCGGCGTAGAAGTCCATAGGGTAGGGCTGCTGCCAGGAAATGTCCCTCAGGGCCACCACTGCCTAGGGGAGGACAACAGGACAACATTTGCCAACTTTTTTTTTTTTTTTTTAAAGATTTTATTTATTTGACAGAGAGAGAGAAGAGCAAGGGGAGAGGGAGAAACAGGCTCTCCGCAGAGCAGGGAGCCCCATGCGGGACTCAATCCCAGGACCCTGAGATCATGACTTGAGCCGAAGGCAGACGCTTAATCGACTGAGCCACCCAGGCGCCCCTTTGCCAACTCTTTCTGCGCAGGATTAATTAATTCAGTCTTCATGATGGCCTATAGAGGTCCTATTATCCCCATACCACAGAAAGGAAATGCGAGGCTCAGACAGGTCAAGGGACTTGCCCAAGGCCACACAGCTAGGAAATGAGTCAGCTGTAACTAAGTTGCTGCCCACCCCACTGCAGATCCCTCCCTTGACAGAACCAGGTGCAAAGCCCACTCTCAGGTATTTCAAAACTTAGTGTTACCTCATAGGGTGTCAGCAGTGGCTTGGGGAAGGCTGTGCCCCAGTCAATGGAAAGGCGCGGACATGCTACCTGCACCCACCTGGGAAGGGAAGTCACGTGAGACCCAAGGGGTGGGGGGTGGGGAGGGTCCCTCCCCTTCTGGGCAGCATGCTGAAAAACATGACTGTGTCCCCAACACACCCGATGAAAAGACAGTCACCCACTACTGTTCAGAGTAACACTATAGCGCTGTTTGTTTTCTCCAGGAGAGCTCTCTGTGAGCTGAGGGCAGGGCCTGGGCAGCTCATCTGTGATCGTATCCTCAGAATCAAATTCACTTTAGTTCGGGTACACTGCAGGTGCCAACCACCCCACAAACTCATCTCACACCGAATGACTGTGATGTTGCAGTTACCTGTGAGCCCCCAAACCGAAATGGGTGTGACCCATAGCTAAGGGTAGCCCCTGCTAAGCCCCTGAGTGCTCTGTAAACATTAAAATTTCACGGAAGCAATTCCCACTGACTCCAGCCTTCAATATGTGCTGGGCAGGACTCAGATCTAAGCTTCCTTAGCCAGAGTCACAGCTAGAGAGGTAAGGTGAGAAAACTTACACATCCACTTCAGGAAGTAGGCTAAGCTTGCTGGGGAAGATCTCAGAAAGCAGCAGCCTCATGAAGGGAAGTCCCAAGGCTTGGAGTCGAGATTCCAGGTGCTGTTGGAAGAGGGAGGCCAAGCTCAGGTCACCACGATTGAGCAGCCAAGTCTAAATCCCTTAGTCTACCGATTTTCCTAGCTGGGTTTCTAGTCAGTCCCCTCCTCCAGAGGCCATCCCAAGCCCTCTGACCTCCAGAATTTTGGGGCTGCCCTGGCGGCCCAAAGTGCCCAGGATAAGGCCCCAGGATTTAGCTGAGCGGGCCGTGGCTATGGCTTCCTGGCGGCTGGTCTGCATGCGCTGATGGTCATAGTGCTCTCTGGATAGGACTTTGCTGTATGGGTCGTATCTGGAAAAGAAGCTATCAGGGTTATGGCGACAGCCATCCACAGCACCTGTTGTACACACGGCTCCCTGACCCAGCCCCTTGGTCTCCTAAATCTTTAGGTTCCATGCAGGTAATTAGGAATAGAGGCGAGAACAGAGATCGTCGCTGGAAAGCTCAGTCCCACAGCTGGAGCAGGGAAAAGTAGGAGGGGGGGTTTAGGATCTCAGTGTGACTCCCAGGGGATGGGTGGGTACTGTGCAGCTCCAGCCCTGGGTCTGACACCTGGATTCAGGACCCAGTTACCTCAGATCCTTAGAGCTGTTGGCTGTCAAGGGGCCCGGGAATGAGGAAATTTCAACCAACTGAGGGCTTCAGTGGGAGGGAAATCCCACCCCCTCCCTGGCTGGTCAGCCCAGCTCAGCCCATACCGGTAAGCGGGGACACTAGGGTTGGCAATCATGACAGACTCCAGGTGGAAACGGCCGTCTCCGAGATATCTGCGGCAGGGAGAGAGGGGATGATAAGTATGGGGTGGAGTGAGGCAGCAGAAAAGGCAGGCACTGGCCTGGAGGTCCAGAGTTCCTGGCTGAGTGTGCTGCTGTGCGTGTATGCGAACTGGCCTAAGTCATCATTCGGCCTCCCGAAGCCTTGGTTTTCTCACATGCAAAACAAGGAGTTTGAACTGGATGAGCAATAAGGCCCTTCTAGTTATGTAATGCAGATCTAAGAACTGTTCCGTCCCCCAGCCTTCTGGGGGCAGGTAAAACGGCAGCCAAGGCCATGGGAAGGCCGCGCAGGGCTCTAGAGATCCTAGCTTGGAGGTGGCGGGACAGGTTCTCCTTCGCCTAGCTCAACATAGACATGGCAAGTAGGGTTCAAGGTGTCATCAATGTTGTAAATGAAGTTTCGGGGTATACACTGGCTCTCTGCACCCAAACTGGTTCTCAGGTCCTGCTACTGAGTTGTAGCAACTACTGTTTACTGGGTTTGCATCTTCTGTGCACCAAGGCCGGGACTAAGCACTTGCCATGCAGGAGTTCACTCAGTCCTATCAAACAGTCCTCCAAGCTACCTATAGTATCCCCATTTTACAATAGATACAACTGCTGCTCAGGGATGTTAAGAAACTTGCCCAAAGGCACACAGCTATTAAGCAGTAAATCTGGGACTTGACTCTAGGCTTAACCACCAGGCTCTATCAAGCCTGTCCCTAAAAGTAGCTGCCCAAGCCATGGAGAAGGCAGAGCATAGAGGACAATCTGCCATGGCAGCTCCTACTTTCCTGGAGACCACACTGATTTTTGTGATAAACGGCCAACACTCAGGGTGTCTCTCCCTCCAACACACACCTTGAAGCCCCCAAGGGTAGGCACCTATGGGTTCAGAATTACGTGGGCGCAGGAACAGGGGGAACACCCTTTGGGGAGCAGGGCTGCCAGGTCTGGGCTGGGGAAGGCCCTGATGTGGGCCTGTCTAGGGGCAGGGCTGAGTCAGGGGAGTGTCCCTCCCTCTTTCCCTGCCATCAGCTAGGAATGGGGCTCCCTTCCCTAGTCCCCGCGGGGGGAGCTGCCGGCTCTGAGGCTGGCTGCATTCACACAACATTAAGCATTTCCATTACCGAAAATAATTAGGCAGCAGGAGACACGCTGCTCCTGCTTGTTAGCTGTCCGGATGCTAAATTAATGGGGCTGCAGCCTGGGCGTGCCCAGCCATCTTCTCCAATTATATTCCCACCATTTCTAGCCCACCCTCATCCCTCCCCCCGCCCCGCCCCGATGAAGCCCTCTGATTCCCGCCCCACCCTGGGCATAGCCTCCTACATGGTGGACAGAGCACCTGAGAGGGAGACAGGAAACCTGAAACCCTATTTGGTCCCCATTTTGCAGGGTGGCCTTGAGCAAACAGTTAAAGAGCTTGAGACTCAGCTTCTTTTCCTAGACAACGAACCTCCGGCTCCCTTCTAGGGTACATTTCTTATGCCTCTACAACTGGCCCCCCATTTTTCACTTACACAACAGCCTTCACCTCTTTGGGCAGATGGGGAGCCGTGCAGCCCAGAATCTCCCCAGGGGACAGGGGCTTGCACTGTGGGACACTCACATGGTACTCAGCTTTCAGCTCCTTCGCAGCTGCCTGTAGGGATGATGAGGGAAGGGAAGCCAGTGGGTGAGGAGGAGGGAGAGCCAGGGCCAGAGGACCAGCCTGGAGCACCTAACGTGGGCCCCAGGAACAGCCTGGAGGCTGGCTGTTATCTGTCCACTTACCTGCAAGGTTGACACAAACTGAATGGTGCTGACCAGGGCAAGGGAAGTGGCAGGGGGAAAGGTGAGGCGGATAGAATCCAGGAGGTGGCTAGTATCTATTCGGATGTCCACAAAGACGTACAGTACCCGGAAGTCTTGGGCCGAGGTGTCCATGGGAACTGGGAGGAGGCAAGAAGTCAGGAGACTGTTTTGGAAGGCAAGAGGGGCAGGGGGCCTACCTGGGCCAGGGTCTCTGAGCAGCCAGGACCAGTGGCTTCAGCCTAGGGATACAAGGAGTGGGTAGGCGGCGGGGGGGAGGGGGGTGGCAGTCATAGGTCCCTCAGAAGCTCCTTTTCGGTCACTCGGCCGGGGGGCCCAGCCTGCTCTACCACCAACAGCCTTTCGAACACCCACATCTGGGACAGCAACACTGTTTCCAAGGCAACCAAATCCAAAAGAAAGATGTACCTGCAGAGCAGGAGGGCCAAGGCCATCCCAGACACTGGGAGGGACCTCCTGCCTGCAAGCAGGACAAGAAGGCACCGACGGGGGGCCGGGGGATTAGCACGCCGCCCTGCCTCTCCGCCCCCCGCCAGGACCCCGGCTCGCCATACCCAGGCAGCTGTGGCCATAGTGCACCAGGAAGTCAGCGCCCAGGGCCCTCGCAGTAAAGTCATCCACACAGCAAGCCCCATACGTCACATCGCCCATCACCATCACTTCAGCCTCTGTGAACCTGTGGGGGCGGGGGAGCAGGGGGAACAATGAGGCAGTGACACAAGGGTGAGGTGGGAGAGAGACCTACCCCCGTGGGGTATTTCGGGGCCCAGCTGCCACATCCCCCGGTCCTGGCGGCACCTCCTGGGACCGTCGCTGTATGCCGATGGTCTCTGTAGCACCCCGGTTCCTCTGTC